CAGGGTTCCAGTTTCTCCACAACCTCGCCAGCATTTGTTGCTTGCTGTTCTGTTAAATTTTGCTATTTTGACTGGGGTGAAATGATATCTCATAGTTGTTTTAATTTGCATCTCTCTTAGGGCTAGGGATTTTGAGCATTTCTTCATGTGTTTGTTAGCCGATCATTTTCTTTGCTCTTCATTATTGTGGCAATGAGATTGGCACAGGATAGAGCACGGTTTAGGGCTGTTGTACATAGGGTCGCTATGAGTTGCAAACGACTCGACGGCACATAACAACACCAAGGGATAGACATATGTTGTTGTTGTGTACTATTATGTTGGAACCAACCCTTAGCTGACCCTCCATTGTGTTTTCAGGGGCAGTTAATTACATGAGAGGAGATTGCCCATTCTTGTCCCGCAGAGCAGCCGGTGGACTCAGTGTGCCTTTGGGATTGTAGCACAGCTTCTTGCCACTACGCCATCAGAACTTCCTTAGTGATGTGTAGTTAGGGATATAAAGTGGACTAGGCATATCAGGATTTTTGTGATGAGGTTTTCACTGCTGAGGACATGCAAGAAACATCCATATCACTGCTCTTTGAAAGGAGAGGGTTTTCACTTCATTTTCCTGTTTCTATTCACTCTCACCTTTTGGATTTCTGCAGTTAATCTGGAACTCTACTAATTTAAATTTTAGATCGTTTTTAGAAGTCTGAGCTGATGTTGTGTACCTTTAGTCGGAACCAATCAATAGCTGACCCTCCAGTCGGTTTTCAGGGGCGTTGAATCGCACAGGAGATTGCACATCTTTCTCCCTGAGAGCAGCTGGTGGACTCGAACTACATACCTTCAGGATTGCAGCACAGCTTCTTGCCACCAGACCACAAGAGCTCCCAGAACTTATAGTGAAATAATGCATTTTAAAGCTGTACAGAGCTACTCAGAGTTTGTTATAATAATGAAGCATGCTAAATAGCTGGAGTCATTTTAATAAGAACTCTGGGAGTTACATGCAGAATAAAATGTTTAATTACACTGCACTAGGAAAGAAAGTGATAATCACTAACAGTAGGAAAGGAAGTAAGAGGTCATTAATAGTTTGTATTTAGACTTCCGTGGCCTACTTTATGCATATTAATAATGTATTGTGTACTGGCTAATGAAGTCTCTGGATGGTACAAATAATCGACACGCTTAGCTACTCACATCAAATCCATCCACAAGTGCTTTAGAAGAAAGGCTTGGTAAGCTATTAAACAAAAATAACCCAACCATTGAAATAATTGTAGAGCACAGGTCTACCCAGACACACACGAGATCACCCTGAGGTGGGGTTAACTTACCAGCTTCTCCAGTGAATGGAAGGAATCCTATCATTGTATACCTTGTGTGGAACCTGCCGTGTTTTTTAATCTAAGTGTTTGATTCGAATGAATCAGTCATCTTTGAATTGATATTTTTCTTCAAGATTTAGAATATGCTGTGTAGTTCAACTCTCAGTTCAGCACTACACGTTTATATATTCTGTATGACAGAATGTGAATGTGGCCCAGTCCTGCACCATGGTATGGTCAAGTCCATTGTTGTGTATATTTTGAACACTCTATAACTTAACTGGCTTGTTCATCTACTGGCACTCTACTGGAGAATATTCTCTTGTTCATGGGATTCTCATTGATTTTTGGAAATAGATCACCAAGCCTTTCTGTCATAATCTAGGAGCTCCACTAAAACTTCTCTGTGGATGACCACACTGATATTTAAAATATTTATGGCATAGCTTCCAGCACCATGGGAACTTAAATTCACCAGAGTTTGGCAAGCTGACAAATGAGTGCTCAAAGAAGCAATAAATGTGTCCTCAGTAAACCAATAAAACCAGTTGTCATGTGCTGTCAAGTTGTTTGCGACTTATAGAGACCCTATGTACAACAGCTCTGAGCTCTTCTCTATCTTGTGCCAACCTTGTCTCTGACACACCTACCCAAGTCTTTGTGTCAAATGCATCTCCTCCAGAGTCTTCCTTTCCTGTGCTGTCCCTCCATCCTCCCAAGCATGATGTCCCTCTCCAAGGATTTGTCCCTCCTTTCAGCATTCCTAAAGTATGTCAGACAGAACTTCAGAATCCTTGCCTCCAAGGAGCAGCCTGGTTTCACCCTCTCTAGGACAACCCTGTTTGTTCTAGCAGTCTATGGTGTGTTCAGTACTCTACAACCAGTAGTTGTTAAATACTTTCATGGTAAATATTGTGAAGAAACAGCCTTTAAACTCAGGATGCTTATATTCTAGGACAGGCAAGAGAAGAAAGAAAATATCAAGTATCATATGATAGGAGTTGTGATAGAGCAAACATAGCACAGTGTATAAGAAAGGGGGCCCAACTACCTGGAAAAAATCTTTGATGGGTGTGTCTTTCAAGCAGGTGTTGAAAAGAATCATAATCAACAGAAATAGAAAGAGACAGATTTCCAAGGAGAGGAAATGCTGTGAGAAAGCATGGAGGACAAAGATCTTTTGTGCCAAAATGTTCTTGTGGTTTATGTTCATGAAGTTACAAAGCATGAGGGGCAGTGCTTGGAGTTAGTGTGTAGAAAGACATGATGTGCAGCAGACATTCCGAGTTCAAATCCCCGTGTCACCGCTGACAAGGTTGTGACTACTTCAGGTGTCTTAACCTACATCCACATCCCACTGTCTTTCATCTGCAACATGGAAATAAGAAGAGTAGTAACTGCTCTGCAGGATTATTGTGAAGGTTAAACAAGCTAATGGATTTGAAGTGCCAAGAATAGGACACACTTAATAATAAATGTTATTTAGGGGAAAGAGGTTATGAAATGTGTCGTGTGAGAAAATGTGATCATTTTTAAAATATGATCATTTTAGTAAACGCTTCCTAACTACATGTTCTATGTGAAGCTGTCTGGTAGGTGCCCTGAGGGGAAGCCAAGCAGAAATGACATGGTCCTGTCCTCAGGTGCCTGAGAACTGAGCAGTGGAGATGGATAAGGAAACAACTAGTGGTGGAGCTCGAACTAACCCAGCTGCGTGAAGTTCAGGCACTGTGTGGGAGCAGCTCCTGAAAGGAAGCTTGTTTTGGAGAACAGGAGGAATTGTTGGAGGAGGAAAGGTCTGCGGAGAATTTTCGCAAGGAGTTCATGCTAGCTCGCTCTGCTTAGCCGTCCGTGAATCAGGGCAGGTGCTCCGAGGCCTGCTGTTTGCCCTATTTCATGCACCGTGGCCGGATTCGGCTTGGCTCCTCTCCATGCTTACCTGGACAGCATTCAAATGCTTCCCTTAGAACTTAAGCAGCGAGGTGAATAAGATTAAGTCTTCATCAGTTTAATCACTCAGTGTCCTGGGAGGGGTGGCGAGGATGAGGAGCTTTGGGAGTTAAAGAACTCATGTCTTCAGTGAGATGATGTCAGGTTTTAGCTAAGTCTACATGCCTAGGGCTTGACAGCGTTTTTATGAAATTCCCCTTCCAGCTACAGTGCCTCTCATCTTGTGGCTGTTTGGGCCCAGTGCATCTCTGACTCTGCATCTGAAAGCATCCTCAAATTTGCAGGGCTACCACCCCTCCCCTAGTACAGACCAGATGAGGCCTGCACTGTGTTTGGAAACTGGATCTGAGAAATCCACACAGCTTGAGGACCGCCCACCATGCAGCAGAGGAGCGCCCAGATCTGTGAGCCAGAAAGGAGTCCTCCTCATTAATTGCCGGCTCACAGATTGGGAGGTGCTTGTCCTTTGGCCCCCAGCAGCTTCTGACAATTGGGTCACGCTATCCTGTTTCTGGCAGAAATAGCTTATGGGTGGTGGTATGTGGCTGGCTCTGTTCTGTAGTTTCCAGCTCTGATAAAATGCTCTTCCCTCTTTTAATCTGTCTGGTCCTGGGAGAAGCTTGCAGGTCACCTCTGATCCAGTTAATCAGTGCCAGAATCAAGGAAGAAGTAAATTTAGGCCGTAGTTATAAAGGGTTATAGAAGGGAAGCATACATTTACCTCTTCAAGTAAATCATGAGAGTGACTGCCTGGTTCAGCCCAAAGGGTCTTTGGAAATGATGTTTTAAAATCTTTTCCACCTTCTGGTGTAGTGGTGTAGACTCCAGAGCTAGAGAGGCCGCCAAACTTGGCTGTATGAACTAGCTTGCTGAAGTCAAGCAAATGATGTTGACTCTCCAAGCCTCAATTTCCTCATCTGTAAAATGGGAATGATGGGTAGATATTAGTCCTTTTCACAGGGTTGTGTGTATAAATGTTTGAAACTGTGCCTAGCCCGAGTTAGCGCTGTGTATGTGTGTGGGTTACTGGGGGCACAAAGGAAAGTGCTTGTTGGGTCAGCATAAAGGCTTAAGCAGCCTAAAGCTAGGTTAGCATGTTCAAAGCCTCCCAGAGGCACCTCAGAGGAGAAACCTGGAAATCTGCTTCTGAAAGGTCATAGCTCTGAAAGTCTTATACGTGGGATGCAGAGCATCAACTCAGCAGCTACAAGCATATATTGTAATTAGCCTTGGAGACATTTTTGTCATTATCTGCTCAAGGCTTTTGTGAAAGCCAGTTAATAGACCTGTTCAGTTATTGATTTAGTGGAGGTTCGTTAGCATTCTTAAGGCTCTGAGAAACAGCATTCTAAAGATTCTCAAGCAAATCCTCAAGTAGGGTAAGTGGTTTTCTCATAGTACATGGCAAACGAACGTTAAGGAAAACCCCAGCTTACAGTGTACCTAACCACACCTCTGTTTGAAGTTCGCAAAGGGTGTGTACAAACTGCGCTTATAAAAGACAGTTGGTGATGGTGCGTTCCTGTTTGAGGCTCAAAACAGCCTGATTCTTTGTTTCATCTGCTGTGGAAGTTTAAATAGCTCCGAGCTGAACACCTGTGTCTTTGTCCTGCATCTTGCCCAGCTAAATAGGACTTGATTGGACGTTCCTTTTCAACCTAATAGCCTCCCCTGTGTGCTTTCATTTCTTGTTTCCCATACCCCCTCAAGTCTTCCTGTCAGAAGAAATAGTTAACTTGAAGTATGACCTATTCATAAAGACATGTGATCTTCTGGTACATACTATGAGAAGAACCTGAGAAGGAAGTCAGACACAAAAGGATAAATATTCTCTGATGCCTCATATACGAAATACCTAGAATTGGCATATTTAAAAGGAGAACGGTTTATTAATTACATGCTTAGGAAGTGGTACAGGGAAGAGAACTGTAACTAAGTAAGGGGCTTTGAGTTTGATAGGGGTGGTGAAAAACTTAAACCTGGGTAATGATGATGCTAGCACGTTGTAATGTCACTGAATTGTACTCTTACAAATGGATAAAAAGGCAAAACTTTATGTTATATATATACTTGTCTTAGTTTCCTAGTGCTGCTGTATCAGAAATATCACAAGTGGGTGGCTTTAAAGAACAGAGTTTATTTTCTGACCACTTAGGAGGTTAGGCATCTGCAAGCAGAGCCCCAGCTTCAGGAGAAGGCTCTCCCTGTCAGCTTGGGGAGGGGATACTGGCACAGCCCCTTTAGCCCTCGAGACCCCCAGTTCCTTGGTGATGTTAACCTGTGATGTCATGGCCTCTTTCTTCTTCCATTTGTGCTTGCTTGTCTCCGCATTGGTGCAGCTCTTTATCACTCAGAAATTAGTAGGTTTAGGGCCCACCTTGCTTTGCTATAGGCACTCTGCCTGGCCTGTAGAGACAAGTGCTGCCAGCCAAAAGGCTGTACCTCTCTGCTGGTCTCCACCAGTGGCTCCATCAGAAAACAACGGGCAGGTTCCTCTGGTACAATTTACAGCTTCTGAAAACCGCTGGAGGGTCACTTACGAGTCACTTCGGACTCAACAGCAATGCCTGACTGACCCAGGCGATAGGGCTTCGTTAACAACCCACAAAAACACCCCATCACCAAATGGGTTGATAGCCACATGTGCAGTCATTGCCCTTGAGTCAAGATTGACTCAAGTTTGTAAATTGCATGGGAGGAAATTACCCATCCTTTTCCTTTGGTGCCACTAGTGGATTCAGACTGTCAGAGAGCTGTGCCCTTTGGGTTAGCACGTTCCATTGCGAACTAGCCACCTGGAGTTCCTTGGCCACAAGAGTAAGAGTTAGGATTCTAACCTACGTTGTAGGTTGATAGAATTTTCATTTGTAGCAATATTTTATTACTTTTTTATTTGCTTAGAAAATTCTTGTTGCTTTGCTATTTTAAAGAAGGCAACAGCATGAAATATCTATTTTAAGATTATTTCAACATCTCCATTATATCCTTTTCTAACTGACTCTTTAGGGTTTTGGAAAATAACTGCAACTAGTCTTTTTTCAATATATAATTGGGTAAATTTGCATCCTGCAGAAATGATAACAGAATTAAAGAAAAATAGGGAACTGGAAGTCAGCACCCACCCACATGCCATGTGTAGTATGACAGTTTGTGGAAGACCTAGACCAATCCCTTTTGTTACAGTAAATTCTCATTGGTGTTTCTGTAAGTAAACACTAAGCATTCAGAAGTGAGTCGGAGGCCTGACTCTTAGGCAGCTGGTTCTTTAGAGGCTGACTAGACCCAGTCACTGAGATACCAGGTGATGAGTAATCATTTAAGCTTTTTCAGAATCGTGTTTAAGCATTGTTGTTATGTGCTGTCAAATCTTTTGCGACTCATAGCGACCGTTTGTACAACAGCTCTGAAACCTGCTCTGTCCTGAGCCAACCTTAATTGTCTCCGCCACACCTACCCTCATTACTCCATTCTGAGTCAGTCCGTCTCATCGAGGGTCTTATCCTCCTGTGCTGTCCCTCTCCAAGGATGAGTCCTTGCAATATACCCAGAGTATGTCAGATGGAGCTTCAGAATCCTTGCCTCCAAGGAGCGACCTGCTCTCATCCTTTCCAAGACGAACCTGTTTGTTCTCTTAGCAGTCTATGGTATATTCAATACTCTTCTCCAACACTCAGCTCAAAGGCATCAATTCTTCTGTCATCCCTAGTCATTGTCCAGCTTTCTGAGGCATAGCAAGTGATTATGAAGACCATGGCCTGGATTAGATGAAGTTTAAAAGCGGCAGCTTTTTCTAGGTAGGAACATGAGGAGAGACATTACTACGAAGGAGGTATTTGTGAGCTGACGTTGAAGTATTAGAAGGATCTGGGCAAAAAATCAGAATAGATGGTGTTCTGAGCACAGAAAAAGAGGACAAAAGCAAATGTGGGGTGGAAACAGTTAAGTCGTGTAGTGGGGAGCATCTTGTAGTTATTCCGTTCTGGCCGACTGAGGAGAACAGATTCCTGTTGCACTATCTAAATTTCATGATTATGGTAAATTTCTAATTATGTAAATACCTTTGAGGTCATTGCGCGCCCCCCCCCCACCAGCTTTAACAATCCCAGCTTTGGTTTTCATTAAATCTTTTGACCTCCTCGTGTTTTTGTTGGTCTTACTCTAAGTAGGACTGGACTATCGCTAGTGCCACATCTATGTGTGGATAGTGTTTTTGCCATGGCCACCATTTTATGAGCTGCCATAGTCCTTTCCTCTAAAGAAATGAAAATCATTTCTAACCAGTTCTTCCTTCTCTTTAGAAAATAGGTGTCATCAGGCCATTTACACCTTACAGAAGCCCAGTCTCAGCAGAGCTAAATGCTGCCCTATCCTAAGCCACGTTTGCAGTGTTAGCTGCAAACTTGTTACAGTCCCTGTTGTCAGTCCATCCTTTTGAAGATCTTCCTCTCCTTTCCTGATGCTCTACTACTTACAAAAAGTATCCTGGCTGCAAATACATTTTCCTCTCATTGAAGGCTGCTTGGTTGAATGGGCCTTGTGGTTTTTAAAGTTGTGCTTCTTTGGCTGTGTTTGTTTCTGAGTTAAACAGCAGCCTCCTCTGGTAGCTTGTCTACTCCCTGAATACACAGTTGGGTTCATGTTTGCCAAGCAGCAGAATATTAGGTAAAAACCATCCTCACTCCATGAATAGCAGTGCCTGAAAGACAACTTGACGGCCAGTCCAGCTGTATTTCAACTTTGCATTTTGACTGTTTAATGCCATCGAGTTGTAGACGAATCATAGTGACCCTATGAACAAATGGCCTGAGCACTGTTCATACATAGAGTTTCCTGAGGCAAGCCATTTCGGAAGTGGATGCCGCTCCTGCTTCCAGGCTTGATTTAGTCGGGAAGCTCCAGCCAACACTGTCCACCATGGGTACCCGTTACCACGATTGGCACATCACTGTCACAGACTTCAGCATCACAGGAACCACGAGTTACCTCTTTGGCTGTATAGGCAGGGTTTAAAAGTAAAATTCTTTAATAAGATTCATTTCCCAGGTGGAAAAGATAATTTTTTGTTTATTATGGTTTTGGATGCAAGCATTCATTACTCACACCAAAACAGTGGACACGAAGAAATTTAGTCAGAAGGACATATTACTTCATTGAGTGGAATTTCACGTCATCCTAGTCTTTGCTTTCTGCCATAAAAAGAATCTGAATTAAATAGAATATGTACCATGAGTGTAATTTAGCAGTCTTTTAAAAATTTCTTTTTAAGTGATTTCAAGGATTCTAAGAAAATATTAAGAATTTGAGTTGTTTTAAGTTTAGTAGCACATAAGTTTTAAAGGTTTTGATTCAGGTTCTCTGTCTTTTCACAGCTAATAAATATCCTCTTTTGCACTTTAGGGGATAAATGCAATTTTAAATTACAGAAAGTCTTCCCTCTTTCTGTTTGGAATGGAGAAGACCATTGAGTTGTAACTTGGTTTCTGCGGCATAAGGGAATTGAAGTTCACTAAGCTCCCTGTCAGCACAGGCTTTATCTTATATGTATATAGTAGTGACTACAGGGACAATATGAATCTGCAAAAGCTTGTTTGATCTTTTAAAAATTTCATTTTATCAAGCCTTTGGGAAGTGATTTTGTTTTATTGACTCAAATCAGCTTAGCAAATATTTATCACCTACTATTTGAGTAGACCCTAAAAGGCTCATTAGGAACACCGTTCAGAGTGTGTGTGTGTGTGTGTGTGTGTGTGTACACACATATACACACATGTATACACACACATACATATACGTATATATGTGTATGTATATGTATACCATGTAATTACAAACCATATAATTAGCCTCCAGTGTAAGAAACACTCTGCCAAGGAAATTTTTAAAGCCAGATTACACTATCCCAACTTTCATGAATCTCTACTGTAGCTGGGAAGGTAGGACAAAAATGATAAATACACATCTGGTCACTTATGTAAATTTTAGTTACAGTCACAGTCAAAGGAACCACAGATGTACTAGGGAGATGAAAGCTTCATTGAAGAAATGAACTGTAAGCAGTGTTCTAAAGGAAGGGAAGGCAGCATTAGAAAAACCCGGGCATGCTGTAATGAGTCTAGAGAAACTTCAAAGTCATGGTGACTAAGGTGGTCTGATCTCAATCTTCCAACACTGGGTTTGATGCATCGCCTTCTCTATTAAAATGTGTTTTTAAGTAGACCAGTTTACCATGTTTCTAACTGATGTGAGTTGGCAGTTTACTCACCTTTACTATTTAAACTGATGCATCTTAACAT